TGGTGGGCCGCCCGGCTCTCCCCCAAAACTTGGAAAGCATCTGCTGGGGGGGCTTAACCCCGTGGCCCCGTTGACTCTGATATCCAACTGAAACAATAAGAGGAGGGATATAAGCTGCATGATGACAAATGTTTCATGCGCCCTAAGCACACTCTGGCTTATTTTAACCTTGTCTACACAGGAGGGTGCCTGGAGGGGGGGCAAAGTAAAAATAGACACTTAGCTAAAAGAAGAGAGGTCCCGGCATGGGGCAGCACGTGGAGCGTGAAGCTGGGGTTCTGCGGCCACCCACAGCAGTGCTGGGGTTTGGGGATCTACACCACGCCGGGGATGGGAGCCTTTGGGTGGCATGACACTCCCTCAGGGCACAGCCCTTTGTGCCCCTGATTCCTCTGTCTCCTCTGTAGGTCTGTTGGAAATCTCCCCTGTGGAAAGAGGAGTGGTGAGCATATTTGGCGTCAGAAGTGGACTCTTCGTGGCCATGAATAGCAAAGGCAAACTCTATGGATCTGTAAGTAGCCACTGCGTGTGTGCCTGGGGAAGGGACCATGTCAGCTGGGGTGAGATGGTGCATGGTGCTAAAAGCTACCCAAGCTCCACACTTGCTCCTCCTGAGTCAGGCAACACAGAGCAGTCCCTGCTGCATTGCCAGCAGAAGATGTGCTGCCCAGGTATGCCACTTACTGAGATTTTGAAGTGAAACCCACTCTTTTGCATTACATTTCCTTGGTTCCTCTCTAAAAACTCTAGTCACCCAGCCACAGCTACTCATCTGGCCTACCACATAGACCAACAGAGCAATCATCTGTGTGGCAGCACCTCAGGCTAGCCTCAGTCCTTATCTTTCTTATATTTAAGTAGAAACAGCCTTAAGCAGGTACCGCGATCGCTCGTTCCACCTCTCAGAGGGCACTTGAACTTGTGATCAGCCACCTCCCACCCCCCTCAAATGGCCCTTTATGATGTGGTGAATCAGTGCCTGTCACATACTTATCGAGCACTCTTCATTAATGCTCTTGATTGGAGAGTCTGTTCCCATGACAGTTCAGTATCCTCAGGATTTGGACTTCCATTTATAAGGAGGTAGATCTGTTAGGAGATAATATAGACCTTTTTTTAAAAAAGAAGCATCTTATAAATATGTACTTGGAGTGGATAGTAACAGTGCATGTTTTTGACCATGTCGAGCTGTCCTTATTTTTTGACTTCACCTCTGTGTTAAGTTACTGTGACCAGCATAATTTCAAATCCACGCTCCTGTGTCTCCTTCCTTACCCGTGGCTTTTTTTTCTGTGTTTCTTGGGTATGCTTTGAAGATACTTTGTCTTAGGAAGAGTCAAACTATGTCAAAGTTATCTAGTTGGGAATTTTTTTTCACATGAAGCATCCAGAATTATTTTCGGGGGCATCAGTCTTGTTACAGAGGATTTTGACTGATAGAAAAGCCGTACAGAATCAGTCACCAAAGTGTAAGAGCTCCCTTTGCATGATTTCTTTGGAAGACAGTTGCTTTGGTCTCCTGGATGAAATAATTCCCAGTGCAGTGCTCACCTTGGCAGGCTGAGGCCTCTCTTACAAAATCCTAGACTTTTGCCCAATAACAAGAGATGAGTTCATCTGTTACTCTCTAGATAACACACTTGTCACACCCACTTTGTACTTACTTGCAAATGAAACCTCTTCACTGGAAGGGTGCCTTTTGTCAGCTCTGTTTTCCTGACCATTAACGCAAGTGAACGCAAACCCTTCCTTCAATTTTAAAACTAAACCAGAATAAAATATTGTCCACTCTGAGCATCTTTAAAAGGCCTCTTTCTCAAACGACACGAGAAAGTCCTAGCACTCAGAGTGTTCTGAAGCCTCTGCAGCAATCTATTGCTGGTAGGACCACCACTGAGGAATTAGAGGAGTAGGGTAGCAGAACTGGACTCTCCCCTCTGCAACTCCGTTAAAATGTGCCCCTCTCTATCAATTAGACAGCTGTGGGTGCCCTTCCCACAACTAGGTGTACGCGCTTGGCCTGGACGCAGAATCCTTTAATGATCCTCTGACTCTGGAGTCTCGTTTGAAGCTTCGTTTGGGCGACCACTTCAAAAGATCTCTAAGTGTGGGGGGGAAGTCAGCTGCACATTTCCCTGCAGCACACCTTCTACACCTGCTAGCAGGAATACTTCCACACCTGATGTTTAAAATTCCTTCCCTCTTATTCTTTCCTTTTCATTTCAGACCCATTTCAATGACGAGTGCAAATTCAAAGAGATTCTCCTGCCAAACAACTACAATGCTTACGAGTCCAGGATTTATCCCGGGATGTACATAGCCCTGAGCAAAAATGGAAGAACAAAGAAAGGCAATAAAGTATCTCCCACAATGACAGTGACACATTTTCTTCCTAGAATCTGAGACATCTCCCTTCAGACCTACCTCAGCACAGGGGAAGACGCAGAATATGTTTGGGGAAAAAAAAACATGGTGCACTTTTACTGGAGAGTTTTATCCAAGAGTAGGTGTAAGATATTTAAGTTAATTATTTAAATCTGTATATATTGCCACAAAAATTATTTATAGTTCCTTTTTTTAAAAAATTTCTGAAAACAAAACCAACCTCCAACTCAAGGTATTTCATTTCATGGTGCAACAGTAGAAGACTTCTGTTTTGTGGTTTGTTTAACTCAGTGTCCTATTTAACTAAGTGTCCTAAAAGAGGTAAAATCCAATTCCTACACTACAATGTTTTGCACTGTTTGTGTGTTGTACGGTGTCTATCGTTGTATGCGTGTTTGTTTGTTTGTTTGTTATGGTGGCTTTATTCTCCTCTGGTGCTTCCTCAACCCCTCCCCGGTGACTCCCAAAGAAGCTCTTGGCCTCCGAGAAGGAGCGGTGGCGGAGGTGCCTGGGTGGTTTGCCAGCGCGGAGCCGCGCACAATGCCTGACCTCCTTTGTGTGGTGTTGCTATTTAACTGGAATGGTATCGGTTTACCCCTGTGCAGAAAGCGCGGTGCTGAAGAGCTACCCCACAAATCTGTTTTTAGATCTGCCAGGGCTGAACTTTGAACTTCCCTGCAGTCTGTCTTCTTAGAGCTGCCAGGCGGTAGAGAGCCTTAGGCACCTATATAAACTCGGCAGGATTGGGTGTTTGGTTTTTTCTATTTAGATAAACAGGAGCATAAAACCTTTTGCGGTCCTTAATGGAAGCTTATATTTGATACGATTGTTTGGCATTTGGCTAAAAAAAAAAAAAAAAGATGTGTCTGTCCCTCCCCTGATGAGCGTACTATGAAACACGCTAACATGAACGAATTATGCTTTATTCAAATCAAATTCCCCGACTTCCCTTCAAATCAAATTGGAGACTACATTCATTTTCCAAAGCCTGTGAAACTCTGTAACACTCACAAGTTTTTAAAAGGCAAAAGCATTTGCTGGTTTGTAGAAAACACAAGCTCCACAGAGAGAATTTAGAGTGATTAGAAAGAATTGAGGTTGTTTTGTACTATTTATTACTTTTGGTGCAGTATTTGGAAGGAGAAATATGCTGCTTTTTTCTGTTTCATTCCCCGACAAAGCTGATTAATTTCTACCTCACTAACTCCCAAAGCCAGTCTCCTAACAAAATCTGCATGGAAGGAAGGTACACGCTCCTCTGCTTGGTCTTACACTTCTGGAGGAGGGCCTAGGGGGAACAATCGTAGTCCCAAATCTCTCTTTTTTCCATATGTAGCCAAAAGTATTCAGGCTAGAGTTGGTTGCATCCTATTTGAGCCTTGTCACGTTTGAGCTATCTTTACCCAGTGGTTTACTTTTAGTAAGGATAATCATGGTGAAAATATTTGCAGACAGCTGTCAGGCTGCAGTACTGTATCGTCATCAAGTAACCTTATATTTTTCTTTATATATTTTGCAAATGTAACTCATGTCTTTAATGTGATGAAGGAAAAGACAGGTTTGGTTATGAGGGAATCTCTAATAGGATCCATTTGTCTTTCTTTCTTTCTTTCTTTCTTTCATTCATTCTTTCTTTCATTCTTCCTTTCTTCCTTCCTTTCTTTTCTTTTCTTTTCTTTTCTTTTCTTTTCTTTTCTTTTCTTTTCTTTTCTTTTCTTTTCTTTTCTTTTCTTTTCTTTTCTTTTCTTTTCTTTTCTTTTCTTTTCTTTTCTTTTCTTTTCTTTTCTTTTCTTTTCTTTTCTTTTCTTCCCTTTCCTTTCTTTCTTATCTTTCTGCCTCTCTCTCTCCATTAAAAGATATATAGTTTTTGGGGCATCAATGAATCCTGAGAACCAGGACTCACCACAATGCCTGACAACTTTAGAGGATGTTTACAGAACATCTTCCAATCTAAACTGGTTGTTTCTGACTACATGCAAATCTGAGTTCAGCCTTTTTTTTTTTTTCTCTTTACATTCCTACACAAGAGCCTTTGTTCCTTTGCAATGGAATAGACTTGCCTGTACCCTCTACTTACACATGACCTTGAAGACAAAATCTACTCACCAAAGTTAGGTAAGACCAGAGCAGTCCAGGACCAGATCTTAAGCCAGCTGTTGTCAAAGTATAAATAACAATTTAAAAAAAGGAAAACAAAACAAGAAAGGGCATCTAGGAAATGTCACACCTAAGGATTTGTAATCTTTTTTTTTTTTCTGTAATTTGAGGGATTTCTGTACTTTCTATGTTTTCTAAGTGTGAGTAATCATTGTGTAATTATCACCACTACCTCTGACAACTGATAATTTCGTTCCAGGTTTCAGATAGCAGAATCAAATCACAAACATTTTCTCTGTGAGTGGTTCTTCTTTGTGACTTTTCACTCCACTAAATCCACAACCTCCAGCCTCACACAAGATATGTTCAGAGGTAGATGTCGTAACTTTGAAATGTTGTGATAAAACCCTGATAACAATGTTACATGGTACGAGCTTTCACCATTTACCAGAATCTGTCTGTAGTTTTATACAGGTGCTGTTCAAGACTGTGGTGTATGTGCTGTGCACATTTAAATGCATAATAAATGATAAACGTTTACAAGGTATGGCACCCTGGTATTGATTTTAACTCTTTCAAAGGGAACGCATCCTGCAACGAAAGACAGAAAAATGCAATTTCATTTTCCCGAAGACCAAGAATTCTTTGCGCCTAGGCCAGCCACTTCACAAATGACAGCCTGGATTTCTTACTCAGCTAAAGTTCCTGCTGCCAAAGTTGGAAGCTGTCCAGGAAAGCCCAGCTTCACGAGCGTGGTAACAGATACGCACGCTTGCATCTGCCACATGCTAGTGTTCTTACTTGTATTATTTGCGTGGTTGTTAACAACGGCAGCTCTTCCTGCAGCATCTAGTATCAATGATCACAGGCACAAAGCAGCTTTGGAGTTTATGTTGCTGGATGTTAAAGCTACAAATGAAACTTTTTTTTCTCGGCGTTAATGAATGCTGCTCTCTGTGAAGTAGGAATATATCGATGCAAGAGACTGTAGGATGACCTGCTTGATTTAAGATACTGTCTCTTTTTACGATTGGTGATTGTACTCATACAAGTGTATTGAAATATGAAGTGCTTTGTAGCACAAGATCCTTTTGCAGAGCTTTTCTTTATAAGTATGCATGTGCACTGTACAGGCACCCCCCCCACACTCTATCAGATCTCTGTACTTGCAGTTTTACCCCCTTCCTAGCATTAGGGAAGGAAACATGACAGCAACAACAACATTCAGGTTTGATCTTACACTTCTTGATGAGTTTTGAGAGAGTTCGTCCACCTAAGTAAAGGCCATAGAAAACAGAAACCCAGATCCCAAGATATAAACTTCTCCATTTATCCCTCAGAGATGCACTTTTTTCCTGTTCCTAGAAAGGGGAAGGCAATAGCTGAGCTGGGAATGTCCAGTGCCCTCACTCTGAGCGACTTCTCTCTAAAGTTGTACAGGCTCTATAAATATGTAGCACAGGTGGGTTTTTTTAACTGATCAAGTATAGCTGCAGCATGTTTAACACTCCTATGAATAGAGCCAGAATAAATAGGCATGCCGATATAATGATTTTTGATAATTAATATTTTTTTTTACAATTCTTGTTAAATAAAAAAAGTCTAGGTCTTCCAAGATTCTAACAAAAAAAGTATTGCTGGGGACAAAAATTTGCTTCAGCCTTTGGGAGACATCCAATTATAATTTTAAGACTGGAGATAAATCTGAAGACTTGGCTCTTAGGAAGGAGAGATTTCTGAGTAGTAATTTTGCAGGTTCACAGCATCTAGAGTACAGGTGCTACACATAGTCCTACCCTCACGAAAATATAAGGGCCTGTTTCCACCACAGATGGAGCAGCTTAAGACATCACAGAGAACTCTAGAGAAAATTCCTTTCTCTGGCTTGACCCATTTTTTGCTCCGTTGCTAAGCCAGCTTTCCTCACAATGCCTTTGGAGGTAGAAAAAGAAATGCTTTAAAGGTGGAAATGAATTTTAACCCCATGAAAAAGGCTCCAATACATCACACATTGCAACATGTCTGGGATGACTGAGAGCATTGCCACGCTCCAGGCATGCCCAGCTCTCCTGCCGTCCTTTACCAAGTATTCCTTTGTCCAGAGCAACAGAAAACCTTTCCTGAGGATGGACAGAGCCCTTCTGTGAGCCAGGCAGATTTCTCTCCATCCTGGGATGGTCCAGCTATAGCACAAAAAGAAGAGGAGCCATGCGCCTGCGCACGGGGGGAAGGAGAGAGCCAAGGCTTCAAGCCCCAACACTCCTTTGCCCACTTGCATGTTTTAAACAGTCCGTGCTTGACATTTTGTGACTCACCCGTGACATCTACCAAGTTGTCTGTACCTAATCTGTGCTAATAAAAATCAGCATGACAAAACATTGCCTCGTATATAAATAGCCACAGGTTTCAGAGCGGTCACCGGGTTTACAGTGCCAGGTTGGGTTGTTCACACTTCACCACTTGGCTTCCACCGCAGCGTGTTAACTGACCATGTGAGTGGCCAATTAAAGAGGGTCTGCTAAGGGCTGAGGAGTCTTTGGATAAAAGCAAGCACTTCAGCAAGGAAGTTAAAAGGAATTCCCCGAAGCACTGCAGCTCCCTTTATACGACTCGGCCAGGCACAGATGAAAACAGATCTTTAATGCAGAAAATGCAGTTTGAAGCTAAAAAAACTCAAGAACCAAGCTCACCCCAGTTCTACTGAATGATCTAAACATGGATGGGATAGTGCAAAGTTGTAACGTCAAGCTGCTTCCAGGCAATACAACATGCAAAAGGGAGTCACAGCACGATTTCACTTCCTGCGCACCAGCCGTGATTTACGGACTTCAAACAAGTAATACTGCCCTGAACTGTTAGTTTTAAATATTGATTACTTAAAACAAAACAAAACAGAACACCTTAATATTATGCCAAGAAAT